GGGAGTGGTCTGGGCTCACGGACAGCAGAACTGGTGCAGAGAGCTAAAGGCTGAGACACGGAGCATTTATTGTCGTGTTTGAGCTTCGCTGGGTCCTTTCGAGTTTGTCTTACAGCTTACTAGGTTAAGTAGTTTGCACTATTTTTGCAATAAAGTCATGGAAAACCTAACAGTTACTTGTTTTGTTTCTTACCGTGTGTATATAAACTAATACTAAAAGTTTGGCATAGTGTTTTTTCACCTCCTTACATAACCCTTAACATGCACAGAATGCTGTAAATCTGATAAAATATGATGTGAATGATATTTTATAAAGTTATTTTGTATGGTGTCAATTTTGTTTTGCCTCATAGTATGTCAGCAAAAAATAAAATAAAATTCCTCGTATTTACAGCTGTCTCTCCCCAAGATCTTCAGTTATTTGCAAATTGATTTGGGTACTTCCTTCTGCACAGGTGAAGAGTCCAGGCTTCCGGGGGCGGGGGTGGGGGGCCTGCCTTCCAGGATGGATGTCTAGAGGCCTGGTCTGCAAGTACCGGACCTATTCCTTGAACCGTGTGTTCAGAAGAGCTGGGCATTACTCCCTGAGAATTTGGGTTTGGGGATGAAAACCACAGGAATGAATTAGAAAAATAAAAGTGGTATCTAGGAGGAGTGGGGTGTTTCTACTTTAGCAGCCACGAGAAAGGAAGAAGAGAGCCATTCAACCAAGCCCCAGTCAAGCACGAGCCCTGAGGTCCACACCGTGTGGGAGGAATCCGCGCTGACCGCATCCAGGGTTCGCATCCTGGAGGGGCACGACTCCCTCCACCCAGGCTGGGGTTACACGTACTCCTACCACTCTGCAGTCCCTGGTGGCCTCACTCTGGGCTGTTGGTAACCACTGTGCACCTCTGCACTGTGAAAAGTACGTGCTGTTGGCAAAAGGAGGGTTGGACTTAAGCCAAAAAGTGGCTGAAAACCCTAGGATGCATGGACCCTGTCGCTAAAGCAGGCCAACTCTTTGTTCTTGCTGAAAGCGATTTCCTGATTTTTAATAATATGTATTAATTACAGAGAATGTGACAATTCAGATGAATATGAAGACGAAATTTTAAATTATTTATAATCACAACACTGACAGGTAATTCTTAAAATTTCTGGTATATTTTGTTCTGGTCTTTTTTTTTCTAACAAAATGAAGTTCTTCCTACCCCACCCCTTGCCTAAGATAGCCAGGACCCAGTACTTCTCAGTAACTAAAACCCACACAGCACCCCGGTGCCACTGGCCACAGGACATGCTAGCCGAAACGGAAAGAATATGATGAGAGATCTATGACATCTTTACTTAATACATACGGGCTCCCTTTTTGACATTCTTGCTGTCTAATTAAACTGTATGATGGTGGGCGCCTGGCTGGCTCGGTGCGTTGGGTGTCCCAACTCCTGGTTTCAGCTCAGGTCCTGCTCTCAGGGTGGGTGAGGTTGAGCCGAGACGGGCTCCGTGCTCAGCTGGGAGTCAGCTTGAGTTTCTCTCCCTCTGCCCCTCTCCCTGCTTGGGCTCTCTCTCAAACAAATCTTAAGGAAACTATACAATGGTGTTACATGAATTAGGAGAAAACTTCAGAAGAGAAAGCTCCTGACTAGAGGATGTTATGCTCCACAGACAACGAGGAGCCCGTAGCAGGAGGGATGGAAGGTTCACGTAGGAAGAATAGGCTGCAAAGTGCTAAGATCAGTGTGAAGGGTCTTGAATGCCACGTTGAGAGTGTACCCACAAGGCATGGGGGAAAAGTGCTCTTTTTAAGCTGCATGGTCCAGTGAAGACAGCAATCTGGGGTTTGAATCTCAGTTCCACCACTTCCTAGGTGTGTCCTGGACTAATGTCTTAGCCTGAGCTTCCATCCCTTTCTTTTAAAATATGGACACTTTACAAGTTGATGGGAGGATTACATGGAAAGGTATACAATATTAGAAGAGGTGTGGCCCCCAGTAACCACTTTAATAATCAGCTACTTTTCACATTTCTGACTAGGAAAGATTAATCTTCATAAACTGTCTTGGTAACCTGATACCAGCAGAGAAGAGGAAAACAGCTCTAGAGACGGTGAAGACGCCAGTTAGCAAGGGACCGTAACCGACAGGCGTGTGGCTCAAGGACCCAAGGAGGGGACCTCCCTAGATAACCAAAGCTGAAGTGCCCAGGTTGGGGTAAGAATGCTGCACCTGCTTACACGCAGGAAACGGTACTGTTCTGGGGATTTCTTACACAGCAGCATGTTACTGGAGGCATATGTACTAGAGACCATGCATGGGTTAAAAAAGGTAAGATTTAAAAATAATTGCTTAGATCCTTTTGTAGTTTGTAAGCGTGATGACCGGGTGTTCACGGTCTTGTGTGACACATGCCTCCCTCAAACCTTGGCACATTACCCATCTGATGTGGAAAAAAAATAAAAGTAAAAATAATTGCTTAAACGAAAAGAAAAATGAAATACAATAGAGAGGGCACCTGAGTGGCTCAGTTGGTTGAGTGTCTGAGTCTTGATCTCAGCTCAGGTCTCCGTCTCAGGGCTGGAGTTCAAGCCCCACGCTGGGCTCCATGCTGGGTGTGGAGACTACTTTAAAAAAATTAAGATATACAGAGAAGATCTTTGCGACTTTGGATCTGATGATACGGTTTTAGATACAAGAAAAGCATGGTCCCCAGAGGAAAAGACTGATAAAGTGGACTTCCTCAAAATTAAGAACTTCTCAGAGAGAAATAATAAGTTCTGTTCTTTGAAAGATACCGTCAAGAGAAGGAAAAGATAAGCAACAGACTGGGAGAAAACATTTGCAAATCTCATAATCTAGCTAAGGGACTGTATTCAGAGGACATACAATTCTCAAGACTCAACAAAAAGAAAACCCAATAAAAAGATGGGCAAAAGATTTGGACACTTAACCAAAGAAAATATGGTAAATAAATAAGAAGATGCTCTACATTTGTCATTACAGAAATCCAAAATTAAAGCCTACCCCCATGAAAATGGCTAAAATTGAAAAACTACCAATTTTGCAGATGATGTAGAGCAGAAACTTGAACTTTACTGGTGGGAATGCAGGTAGCGCCGCTTGAGAAGTTGGGCGGTTTCTTATGAACTTCAATGTTCTTATGAACACAATTCCACTCCTAAGCATATACTCAAGCATGTCCAAGTGGACATCCTCTCTTCACACAAAACCTGTACACGAATGTTTCTAGGGCTTTACCTGTGATCATCAACACTGGAAACCCAAAGTGGGAATTATTTGTCAATTATTTGTCGATTATAGTGGGAGAAACACACTTCTCTAAAGCCGTACCATGGGAGCCTACTCAGCAGTAAGGAGTGCGGCCTGCGGTAACGTGAATGTCCCTGGCATTACGTGTCCCCAAACAAAAGCTGTACCGAGTTCCACTTACATGACATGGGAAAGGCGGGTCAGCAAACCAGTCTGGGAGCCAGGGCCAACCCACTGCCTTTCCGTACGGCCTGTAAGCTTAAGAATGGCTTTTACATTCTTAAATGTTTCAAGAAGATCAAAAGAGTATTTCATGATCCATGAAGATGCTAGGATCCAAATTTCAGCGTCCAGAACTGAAGCCTCACTGACATGCAGCCGTACTCCCGCCCTTCCGTATGCAGCTTGTCTGCTACAGTGCACAGTTCACAGCTGTGACAGGCTAGACAGCCCACACATCTTACAATGTTTTCTGCGTGACCCTTTCCAGAAAAAATTCTGTCAACTTCTATATGGGTAAAGAATAGCTCAGTGGTTGCCCAGGTGAAGGGCTGGAGTGAGTATTACTGGGAGGAAATTTGAGGGGAGGCCATACAACCGCTGAGCCTTGCGGTGTTTACACAACTCTGCATCTGTCAAAGCTCAAAACTGCATCAAAGTGTGGGTTTTTTAAAAATTTAAATATCTAAAAACAAGAGGAATAGAAACGACAGTGGTTGCCTGGGGATAAGGGAAGGGACTCTGGAGGGACAGGGAGATATCTGGGTGACGGAACTGTCCCATATATAGATACTTACATACCAACAGAAATGACACTAAAGGATGATTCTTACTAGATGTAAACTATAACTCAAGCCTTCTAAAGAAGAGAGAGACTCAAGAGCGAGAGCCAAAAATTTATTCTATGTAGAAAAAAAAAGTTTTCTCACAAGTTTCCTCTTGTGAACAGTAAAGACAGTTACTTTGGTTATAAAGAAAAGAAGAGTAAAAGGAGAGGTTTTTGGTTTTTGTTTCTTTAAGATTTTATTTACTTACTTGAGAGAGAGCAGGGGCAGAGGGAGAGGGGGAGGGAGAAGCAGACAGCAGGGAGCCCAACAAGAGCTCAACCCCAGCACCCCAGGATCATGACCTGAGCTGAAGGCAGATGCTTAACCGACAGCCGCCCAGGTGCCCCGAGAGATTTTCAATATACAAAATGTTTTTAAGAAAGATGTGAATTGTGTAAGACTGATGATTCACAGACCTGTACCCCTAAAACAAATAATACACTATATGTTAATAAAAAAATATATACTTATTCAAAGGTAGTATTTCTTTTTGTATTTATGATTTTTTTTTCCTCTGGGAATAAGTGCTAGAAATGCTTAATTTTAAATTTTGCATAAATCTCAGGTAATAAGATATCAGAACAACAGAGCTCTAAAACTAGTTCCACAAAGCATTTACTATAAAACAATAGCTTCTAATAAATTTATTTCTTTACAGTTAATAAAATTGCAGTATTTGAACAAATTGTCAAATTTTCAAATGTAACGTATCACGCATAAACTATGTATTTAGCTCAAACTACATCTGGTTGTTTACAAGGATTTCCAAATATACATCTATGAATTTACACAACCGGTCTCTAGAAGCTCTTCAAAATCTATCTGTAAATTAAAAGGAGAAGCAAAATTGTCTGTCTCTACAGCTCACAGCTGCATTAGATCAGCGGTCAGGGCCTGGGTGTACAGGCAGCTCTCTCGGTGTCCGCGTGCGCCAGAACTGCAGCGAGGGCCCCTCAGAGAGAGGCTGCTGTCTGGGCCACCTTCCTTCTGGCCGTTCATGGTGTGGGCACATCAGGTGCTCTATCTTAGCCAGGAAGGAACCCAATGTACATGAAGTCTCTGGGAAGTCAGGTGTCTGAGGTCACACAGCGTTGTGCTTGCTTCCACGCTGCGCTGCTAATCCAGGAGGTCCTCGGCAGGCTGATTTCTCGAGCACCTCCTGTTTGGTCTAGGATTCTGCTTCGTCCCCGTCATTCCCATCACCGCTGTCATTCTCCTCCTCGTCCTCGTCCCTCTTCTCTTTAAGCATTTTCAGATATTTACTAGCTAAAATCTTCTTTGGTAATATATCTTAAAAACATAAAGCTAACATCAGCAACTGGTTTCGGCAGACCACGAACACAGCAATGCAAATTTCAAAATGTGCTAGTTCCTCCTTTGAGCTCTGGAATAGGTTCCAAAATAAGACAAAATTCTGACCACACTTCTGGGTGAAACAGCAGGAAACGAGCACTGCCTCCTGACCAATGCTGAAGACCTGTTTCCCTCCACGACTGCAAACCACGAGTCCCGGATGTGCTGGTGTGGACTGACCGAGTCGGCTCAACCTACCAGGGACAAGCCCGCTGGGCCTGGGGGCAGATTTAGGCTCCTCCCAGCTGTGGCCCACACAGCTTGTCCACAACAACTACTAGTCTCTGTTTCCGGGGCCAGGCAGACCAGCCCAGAGTTTTCCCTTCAGTGGTAAGGGGTCTGGGGGTGGGTATGCCGGGCTCACCCAGCCCCCCACCAGCCGAACGTCCTTGTGCAGGTGTTGGCTTCATCGCCATCCTAGGTGACCCGCACTGCACACACACTCTGACAAAACTAAAACTGTCTTCCGTGCCCGCTCACGGTAAGCTTCGGCACCCAGAGAAAGCAGGGGTGGGGGGAAAGTCTTTCAGTGACAGCAGGGGAAAAGGGGGAAGACGGCTGTAAATGACCCTGTGCGCGTTTTAACCAGAATGTTGCAAAGGCTGCGTACCTGCGAGAAACTGGAAAGTCTCCAACTCCTCCGCGGTCTTGGACAGATCGGTGTAGGTGAGCGCCTTCCTCTCCAGCCCGCTGCCGCGTCGGTAGGAGCAGGCGGCGAGGTGCTGCACGAAGAGCTCCTAAACACAGTGAACGAGAAGGCAGGGATGCTTCGGGAACTTACGCAGACCGCGACTCGCTGAATTCGGTTAAGACGAGCTGACCGCAGAGGACTGCGGCTTCGAACTCCGGGGGTCAGTGGGGAAGGGGAACAGGTCGGAAAGAAAGCAAGGCTGCATCCGAGTTGGCAGGAAGCAGGCATTTCCCTAACGTTACTTGAGATTCCTGACCTGAGGAGGACATTTAAAGGTCACTCAACAGGGATTATAAATGTTTAACAACAGTTGTTTTAAAGGAGCAGAAGAGCGTTCAGAAGTTCTCGGGTCGGGGACGCGTCTCCGGACTGTCTAACCGCGCTGCGCCGAGGGGCTGCGCGCAACAGCCGAGCACCGAGACCGGGAACTGACCGCGGTTCCCGGGCGCCCCAGCCCGCGCCGGGCCCCCCGCCAATCCGGTCAGTGCGACGTGCGGGCACAGGGAGCCCGGGCACCCCCAGGCCACCTGCGACGGGGAACCCGCCCCGTCCGGCCCCGGGGACGGCCCACGCGCCTCCCAGAGGGCCGTCACTTAGGGGCACTGCGTGTTACCCCCGACTGCTGAGTCACTGGATTCTACCCTAAACCCGTGACAATGAAATAAAAAGGCTGCTCCGGGCGGATCACGCGAGGCCCGCCCGCCCCCGCGCAGGGAAACGGCCCAGCGGCGCAGGGCAACGGCCCAGCGGCGCAGGGCGGCGTCCAAGGGCGGGCTGTGCGTCCACGGCCGCAGCTCCGACGGCCTAGGGCGATCCCGCAGGGGCCCGGCCCCCGCCCCAGACCGAACCGCCCCGCCAGCTCTGGGCGCACCCAGGAGGCCCTGAAAGTACCGGGGGACGCCGCGCTCCGCTGCCGGGACGGGGCGCGAGCGGCGGGCCGGGCGGTACCCCCGGAGCCCTCGCCGTGAGCCCTGGGCCAGGCTTTGCGGCCCCGGCTTTGCTGACACGCCGGGGGGAGACGTCGCAGGACACCGGCAACAGCCCGCATCAGCCCGCGCCTGCCCGCGCCAGCCCGCGCCTGCCCGCGCCAGCCCGCGCCTGCCCGCGCCAGCCCGCGCCTGCCCGCGCCAGCCCGCGCCTGCCCCTGGAGCCTGGCGCGAGGGACGGCGGGAACGGCGCAGTGGGCGGGACGGAGGGCGCGCAAGGCAGGACGGGAGCTGCGCGGGGCGAGGCCGGCGCCGCAGAGACAGGTGGGTAAGCCAGAGGCGCGCGAAGGCGGACGGGAGCGGCGCGGTGGGCGAGGCGGAGGGCGCGCAGTGGAGGACGGGAGGCGCGCGCGGCGCAGCAAGCAGCGACGAGTGGGTGGGCCAAAGGCGCGCGAGGGAGGGCGGGAGCGGCGCGGCGGGCGGGGCGGAGGGTGCGCGCGCCGGGGGAGGGGACCCGGGCGCGTCGTGGAGGGCGCGCGCACCGCGATCCCGCGGGGGAGGCCGGCGGCGCGCGGGCCGAGGGGGGCACCGGCGGCGCGGCGGAGCCCGGGGGGCAGGGCGGGGCGCGACGGTTCCGGGCGGCCCCCGGCGCCCCCCCCCCCCGTCCTTCCCGCGCCGCCCGCCTCACCGTGGCCTTGGCCGTGAGCACCAGCGCCTCCTGGTTGATGCTGGACACCTCGGGGGAGCTCTTCATGATGACCCGGATGCGGGACAGGGGCAGCGACACGAGCCGCGGCTCCCCGCACTTGTCCCGGCCCGCGACCGCGTCCGCCATCTTCGCGCCCCGCCCCGCGGCGGCCGCCGGACCCGCCGCGAGGCAGGCAGGCGGCCGGCCGGCCCGGAGTGTGCGGGAGCGGCGTCCCGCTGCCCCGTGGGAGTTGTAGTGTCGGGGAGGCGCGGCGGCGGGGGCGGGCAGCCGCCCTTCCGGGGCCGGACTACAAGCCCCGACATGCCGCGCGCCGAAGGGCGGCCGGCGGGGCGGTGCTGCCGAGGGCCGCGAGCGGCCTTCCAGCCGGCGGCCTGCGCCGTACGGGGCCGGGGGTCGGGGCGCGGGGGCTCTGGAGGGGGCCGGCGGGGGCCGGTCCGCGTGAGGGGAGCGTCGCGGCCAGAGCGGTGGGGGGACCGCGGCGCGGGGAGCCCCGTGTGCGGCCGGGGGACAGCGGTCGCGGCCTAGCCGCTGCCGGCCAGTGCGCTAAGGGAAGCGGTCGGAAGAGGGCACGGGGGAGGGCTGCACGGATCGCTCCGGCCGCCGGCCGTGCGCAGCCCGGGACCGTCGGAGGGCCGGAGGTAGTAAGATGCGGGTGCGCCGGGAGCCCGCGGTGGCCCAGTGGGTGGGCGTCCTCAGCTCGGCTCCGGTTTGGCCCTCGGGGTCGGCGTTCCAGCCCTGCGTAACAGCGCCCCTGCTTGGGGGCGGTGCGGGACGCAGTGCGGCTAAGGCGAGGTGAGCTGGAAAAGAGAGGGGGAGGGGGTGGCCCGGCAGGCATCGTGATCCCGGAGCTCTCCCCAGGTGAATCCGGAGTCCTGGGGAGAGTCGGGAGGCCCCACTTAGGTGTTACCGGGAGTGCTGGAGGTGCTGCGCGAGAGCGGACTGTAGCGGGGCAGCAGTGGAGGCAGAGCACGGCGAGGGGCTGTTGCTGGGCCAGAGGGGATGGGGGGTTAGGCTAGAGTGAGGCGGTGGGAGAGAGTAGGGTTGGGGACCTCGTTTGAAGACAGAGTGAAAGGTGGCCCTGCCGTGGACTGAGCTGGGGCGCGCTGAGAAGCGCCTTTGCGGAGGTTTGGAGCAGCTTCAGGGTTAATTGCAGAGACACGAATCAGACCCTGGTCATACTCCTCCCAGGTCAGTGGCGAACCGAGCAGCATTTCCAGAAGCCTGGGTTACCGTGTAAGGTTTCAGTGCTCCTGGGGCAAGGTCTTCGCACCCCCCAAATCCACTTCGATTTCAGAGTTCATGTGAAAGGGGGCTCCTGGCCGGCCTGAGGGTAGAGCGGGTGACCCTTGGTCTTGGAGTTGTGAGTTCAAGCCTTGCATTGGGCATGGAGCCCTACCTTAAAAAAAAAAAGTTTATATAAAAAGAGTCCAGAAAACTCAAAGGCTGTCTTGTTTAACCTTTGTGATTTCAGTCTTTCATCACTTGGGTGATGATTACAAACTATAAAACATGTACAGCACGTTTGTACAAGCTTAGTAAGTTTTGAAAATTACTGCTCTTTGTTCTTCTGAAGAGGGGACCCAAGACCAGAGGTCACACACATGGCCCAGATGACTGGCGTTTGGGGTGTTCAGAAAGTTTTCACATCTCCTTCAGCTATCGTGACCCCGTGAGTTCAGTACCTGCCGTGTGCTGTGCCATCACAAGGGGAAGGCCAAGACTGCAAGGACGGTGTTGCCTTACCACTGTCACCGGGGGTCATGGCCCAGACACACATCAGGCACTGCTGGACACACAGGTACAGCCAGTGAGCCCGACAGCTCTGGTCCCTGCTCTCTCAGCTGACTTTCAGGTACGAGGGAGACAGGAGAATAAACAGGGACGTGTCCTACAGGAAGTGCGAGTGGTGGGTAGCCTCTCTGAGAAGTGCTACTCCAGCTCCAGTCTGGAGAAGGGAACAGCCCCGTGCAGAAAGCCTGGGATGAGCGTTCTCGACGGGACAGCCTGTGGGAAGGATGCCGGAGCGGGGAGACTCCCAGGGCAAAGTGGAGGAACGGAAAGGCCAGCGTGGTCGGAGCTTCGTGGGTGAGGCTGAGCGTGTGGGAGATGTGCGGGAGATGGGGTCGGCAGGGTCGGTGGGAAGTGCTCAGGCAGGCAGGTGAAAGCTGTGGCTTCCGTTTGGAGAGTGTTAGGAAGCCATCAGAGTGGAAGGACGAGTAGATCCCACATACAGGGCGGCCAGTTGCCAAGTGATGACTGACACCCTGCCCTGAGCAGCATGGAGGCAGGAGGCACAGCCTCAGCCTCGGGGTTCAGCTCTTGGTCCCAGGAGCTCCTGTCCTTTGTGAGTGGGAAAGCCCTTGACGTTCCCAGGATGGGCAAGGAGCTGCTCCTTGGACACCCACCGCACGGTCTCCTTTATCTTCACAACATCTCGAAAGGCACGCGTCTCTCTTTTTTTTTTAAGATCCCCTTTAAGATTTTAAGTAATCTCAGGGCACCTGGGTGGCTCAGTCGGTGAAGCATCTGCCTTCGGCTCAGGTCCTGATCCCTGGGTGGTGGCATCAAGTCCCACGTCAGGCTCCTTGCGTCTTGAGGAGTCTGCTGCTCCGTCTCCCTATGTTGCTCCCTCTGCTTGTTTTCTGTCTCTCTCTCTCAAATAAATAAAATCTTTAAATAAAATTTTTAAAAAATTTTAAGTAATCTCTATACCCAGTGTGGGGTTTGAACTCACGACCCCAAGACCAAGAGTTGCACACGCCACTGACCGCTGTCCAGGTGCCCCAATGCCCGTCATTTCTGACGCCGCGGCACAGGCTCATTGTTTCTTGGTGCCGCCTGTGTCTGCATCCCAGGCTGCTAGAAAGCAGTTGCCTACACTTCCCGGAGGCCCCTGCCAGCTGGCTTCTGGCTGGGTTCGGCCTGCGGGAGACACGGGTGAGAGACTGCAGCGGAAGGCGGGGAGGAGGCCCCGGCTGGGAGACCAGCACCGGCCGCAGGCTGGGACCATAGGCGGCCACAGTGAACGTCCGCGCACAGCTGGGGGCTTCAGCAGCTGGGGTTTTGCTCAGCGTCGGCGCCCTTGGGAATTCACGGGGTCCTCTGGGCTGTGAGCCAGGGGTGGTGCAGATTCCCGGGCTCCGGGTAGCATCTCCTTCCCCTGCTCTCCTGGAGACCCTTGCTCCCACCTGCAGCTCCCCCATCACCCTGCAGGCCCCTCTCTGAAATATCTTAGGAAGCGTCTGCTCTCCTAATTGAACGTTGGGCTCTGTGTACTTGGTTCTAGGAAACCAACCAAGGTCAGTGGGAATCGAGAGCCAAGGGCCAGTCTTCCGAATGGGTGGTGCTGGTACGGAGGTGACCTCACAGGCAGCCCAGCCGGGAAAACAGTTACTTCACTTGTCCCCTGTTGTTGCCTAGACGGAGTGAGTGCTCAGGGAAGGCAAGGTGGCCCCAAGCGACCATCGTGGTGGGGATGGGGTCTGGGGGATAGGCTGGCTGCAGATTGCCTTGGAGAGCAACGCAGAAAGCAAACCGAAAGCCTTAGACTCAGATCAAGCCTGAAGAGAGCGCCAGCTCCTGTGGTGGTCCTAGGATTCCTTACTTTCGTAGCCTCAGCTGGTGGGCTAAAGATCAGATCCACCTTTGATTCTCTCTGATGCATAATTTCTATGTAAGTTGAATTCACAGGTCTTGTCTGTGAAGTAGGCTGTTGGCTGGGGAGAGTGGGGTCCTGAGAAGTAGAGACAGTTGGGAGGATACAAGCATACCTCTAACCCTCTTCCTCTGAACCTGTTTGTCAGTAGAAGTAGCCCCTGCCTGTAGAGACTGTTTGCCTGCCTGGAGTCCCGTTAATGAGCTTGTTCAAGGTGCTTACCTGGCAAGGAGATGCTGGGTCCTCTCCAGACTAGCCCCTCATGAGCTCCAGTCCGTAGCGAGTCTGATCCCAGCATGCGGGGGACAACTGCAAACTCTGAGGAGACAACCACACAGTGAAAGGGGGGGGCATTTGTGCATTTTTTATCAGCAGATACTTGGGGCTTCAAGTGGTGTCTGTCCAAGGGGACAGAGCATCCTGTGGGACGTGGCTGAGTTCTTCAGTAGAGCTGACTTTCCAGGGATCCTTGTCCAGTGTGTGGGCACCAGCAGCCGGGAATGGCCTGATGGGGTGAGAACAGACGTGTCCTGTGCTGGTGGCACTTGTCATGAAGCACTTCAGCTCTGCTCTGGCCATCTGGCAGGTCCTAGTAACAGGCACAGCACAGACACCAGGGGTTGAAGCACAACTGTATCTTTTCCGAGGAACTAGTCTCCGTCTGAGCAGTAGCTTCTGATGGGACCCTGGCGGAGGCCGAACACTGGAGTAGGAGACCTGAGCTGGGTGTGATGTGATCCACCCCGCCACGTGCCACACTCCACTGTGCAGGGGAGGTGGAAGCCTGTCCCCATTGAGCAGGGCCCAGGAGCACGAGGGAAGCACCCCAGGAGGCGGCTCGGGCACCCACAGCACCTCCTCTCCACCCCCTCTGCCCAATCCCCACGACTGTGGTCCCGGGTTCTCTGTGGGCAGGAGAGGAGGGAAGACAGACCACGTTGACAGAACGGGAACGCCGCAGCAGAAGCCCCCCCACTCTGCCAGTGGAGGCGAGGAATTCCCAAGGCGCACCAGCCTGGATGGAGAGAAAACCAGAGTGCGGGGTCGGCGCCAGCTCAGGGCTGGCCGCTCCCAGTCCAACTGGTGGCCAAGGAGCATGGAAGAGCAACATTGGGAACTTGGCAGGAAAGTCTGGGGAAGGAGTTTGTAGATGGGCCCCGAGTTGGGGGAGCTGTGAGGGGACGTGGGGCCCAGGTGAGTGCTCACCAGAGGAGGACCTTAGTAAACAAGGAGCAGGATGCCCTACTTGGACACGCCACTTACTCTCCCCTTCCAGCTACCACCCTCTGGTGACACCAGAGCCCCCTTGATGGGACTTTTGTAAAAAGCGGTCATGGCCCCCCCCGGAGCTGGTGCAGCGAGGACACAGGATCTTTCTGTCTTTCTGCTTTGTCCTGGTATGTTGGTTTTAGGCCTTGTGCTCGTTACCTCATGGCTCCAGAATGGCTGCGGCTGTTCTGGAGTCTATGACTGTGTTGGTGGGAATGGGGGCAAGGGGCAGTAGGCCAAACGATCCTTGCTCATCGAGTTTCAA